AAAATTTTATTCTTATAGATCAAAAGCAATTTGCAAAAAAAAATGTATTTCAAAGGTCTCATATTCTTCTATTTTATTGCATATAATACTAAGTCCTTAGGAATTCCTTCCTTCCTTGAAGGAATTCAAATGTTTATACAACAAAATTATTAAAATAATAATAAAATTTGAAATTTGATTAAAATAGATTATTAAAATACTTAAGGACATATTACATTATTATTCTTATATATTTTCATAATCTAATACATATGAATTAAGAATATTATAATCAATAATTATACATTTTAACTAAGAGTATTTATGTTTTTATCTTATTTATTTTTAAGCGATTATATTGAAAATGTTATTACAATTTTATTTTGTGTTAACGACAATTTCATTTTTTTAATCTAGGATTTGATTACTTTGAAAGGATACCATTTATTTTAAGTTTTATTATTATGCAATTAGGACATATTAGATTATAAATATTATTGCATATATATAATAATCATAATAAAAATATTAATATAATTTAAAAATTAATAATTAATATGAACTAATTTCAGAATATTTAATTCAGTTTATAATAAATATAAAACTATCATACTCTTCAGAAAGATTAAAATAACAAATAAAAAATTTAAGCAATTATAGTTATTTCATAAAAAAATAGAATTACATTGTACTTGGCTTAAAAATGTATTTTTAAGTTACTTTTTTACAAAAAAAGTATATTCTTTAATCTTACACACACACACAATTTTGTAATCTTTTTTATGTAAAATTATTTATATATCATATTTTTAAATAATGTATTATAATCAAATTATTAATTTCTGATTTAGTTGTATTTTTTCCATTTGATCTTATTTTTATTATAAAATTAAAATATAGTAAACGATTAAAGTTACAGTATTTTGTAATTATTTAATCGTAGAAATTCAAACCTAAAAATAGTGTACTTGAAGTCATAATAATATTTATAAAAATAACCGTAATTGTATTGAATAAACATAAAATAAATTCTACAAAGTTTTTTATTGAAGAATTTTTACGTTTTTGAAAAATTCAAAATATCTGGGGCATTATCACATCTTCAATTAAGTTTGGAACTCCCGCGTTGCGCAATATTAAACTCAACGATTAAAAAATAATGTATTGTTGTTGTTGATAACGTAACCGTGACTGCAAGGTCAGATAATTTATACTTGTGACGTTTTACTCAATAAATATAATTATATTTTGCCAAATTAGTATTTATTATGAAAATATTTCTTAAACGTAATAGAAAAAACTTTTAAATATATATATATAAATAATGAAATCTTTTCAGAATGGGGCTTTCAAAATTACTACAAAATACCTCGAATTACACTGTAATTATTTAAGTTTGATATATACGTAAATTTTAATAAAAAGGAAAATATTTTTTAATTTTATAAAATATGACATTTCATTTTGCCCTTCTCTACCATCTTCCATTTTCAATTAATCTAGGTAAAATGTCGCATCGGCTTCTTGCTCTCTCTCTCTCTCTCTCTCTCTATGACCTTTTCTCTTCCTGCCTCTTTTTAAATGATCCCTTTCTTAGTTAATTAGCAATTGCTGTAGCTAGTCGACGTGGTTACCACCATAGTCAATTCCACAATCAATCAAGTGTGCATTATAATAAGAGTAAGTAGTCAAAGAAGACTAAAGCTTATAGTTCAACTAATTTTTAATATAATAATAAATTATTATAAATTGAATTTTCACTATTATTGAAAGTAAGTTTTTCTATTATTTTAATTTGTGTTAAAAATGTGAAAATGCAAGAGATATTTTAAAAAATTGTACAATCATTATAATAATTAATTAGAAAAAATGAATAGCTTACTTAATTTTTTATTTCCGATTATTTATTTATAAATATTTAACATCAATACAATAAGAATACTGTCATGTTTTAAAAAAAAGCACAATATTTTAGAATTTTTTAAATTTCGATCAACTAATATAAATATTTTTAAAACTTCAAGATTTAATAATAATATATATAGAAATTAATTATTTTTATTTTTTATAAATAATAAATCCTAATTTATTAGAAACATCAGAATATTTCATTGAGCTATATAAATAATTAATTTCTCAAAATATATCACAATAAATACAAATAAGAATATTGTTAAAATGTAATTATACTTGAAAATCAGAGTTTATAACATATACTTTCATTTAAAATTGTAATTTATTGTATAAAGATTATTAATATTAAACCTTAAAATTTCTTGAAAAAACTCTTATCCATCTATTGTATATAATAAAGATAGAATTTCAATACTATTGTATTAATATTTTCATGTTTATTAAAAATAAATGAACTCTGTTTAAAAGTATATAACAAGTAAATACAATTTTAAAGAGTAAAAAGAGAATAATATTAAGTTATTATATAAATATATATCTTAATAATATGATATCTCAAACTTTATACTGATAAATTTAACTTTATTTTAATGACACAAAATATTTAACTGTTTTTATATTGATAGAAGTTTTCATAAGAAAATGACGAAGTACAAATTATCATACTTCCCAGTGAAAGCTCTTGCTGAACCTATTAGATTCTTATTTAGTTATGCAGAGATTGATTTTATTGATGATAGGTTTGACAGAAATGATTGGCCAACTATAAAACCTAGTGAGTTGTATTAATTAATTATTATTAATATTAAAAATATTAATTATTTATTGTAAATTATTAATTATCCTAAATATATTCAATCACTGTATTAAATATAATACATTATAGCAACACCATTTGGTCAGGTTCCTGTTCTTGAAGTAGATGGCAAAAAAATTTGTCAATCCAATGCCATCTGCCGTTATTTGGCTAAAAAATGTGGTCTTGCTGGAAAAAATGATTGGGAAGAACTTGAAATTGATGCAACTGTTGATACTATTCATGATCTTCGAGCAAGTATGTTAAATAATTTAAAAACTTTACTTCAAAATATAAATTAGTTAATAGTTCGTAATTATGTATGTGTTAAATAACTTTTATAGAGATTGCTGCGTATCATTATGAGAATAATGGAACTGCAAAAGCAGAGAAACTCGAAATTGCAAAGGAACTCGTACCTTTCTATGTTGAACGATTGGACGAACAAGCAAAAAAGAATGGTGGTTATTTAGTCGGTGGACGACTTACATGGGCAGATATTGTTTTGGTTAGCCTTCTTGACTATCTTAATTATATGGCTACCTACGATATCATTGAGAAGGCAGAAAATTTAAAGACAATCCGAGATAACGTATTAGCTGAACCCAAAATCAAAATGTGGATAGAAAAACGCCCAAACACTGAACTTTAGTAATTGAACTTCTTCTGTAAAAGAAAATTATTTCCTTAATTTTAAATGTATTAAAATGTTTCTAAAAATTCATAAAAAATATTATATTTTTACAATTTGTTAAAAATTAATGTAATTCAACGTTAATTTTTCATAAATAAAAGATTTATAAAAAAAATATATGAATTATTTAAATAATTTAAATTATACTTGATATAACATCAACTACCACTTTACATATTTATTTATAAGAATCGCAAATAAATAAAAATATCATAAATTAAATTTTTTCACCTTCATGAATCGACAAGTTAATAAAATAAAAAAATACAAATTTAATGCATTTTTTATTCAGTGCTATGAATACAATAGACGATTTTAATTAAATGTTTTGAAACAATTTTTACCAATGGTTAAAATTATTATGTATATTTTTGATAGTTTTCTAATAAAAAATTAGGAATTCATTAAATTTTTAAAAAACTTTGTTAATATGTACCTATTTAAATAAATATTTGAATAGAAAAACTAAATTGTGTAAATGAGGTTGCTTAATTTATATAAAATTTGACTTGCACAACAGTTAGAATTAAGTAAATAAGAAATTTTATAATTGAAACAACGGTATACTATTATGAGATAGTTAAAAATCGAAAATTATATTAATTTATTTTAGCGTATTTAAAATTTATTTAAAATGAAAATTTGTAATATTCATTTTAAGGCTAAGTATTTAATGCAATTTCACAAATCAGAGATTCCTAAGTATATTATTCTTTTATATAGATCTAAATCTATTATAAGAAATTATTAATGCAATGAAATTAATAATAATTAATAATGCATTGATAATTTAATGTTTTACGAAATCGATAATCATTTCAACTACTATTATAATTTAAATTTTTAATATGCTATATAAATATTGATTGGGATAGGTTTAAAAAATAACAGTGAAGCAAAATTAGTATTACATCTGAGGACATTGAAAGTAACGATTGAATGTCAGTCTATGGTAAAGGAAGTTTGATAACATTTGAATTCTCTATTATATGTACTAAATTTACATATTCTCGGTACCTCATTATGCAGTATAATAACAAATTGAAAATAAGTAAGAGTGTTGGTTTTAAGATGGTTGAAGATAAAAACCAAAAGGAATTAATCTTCTATTAGTTTAGTTGACATGAGAACATCATATTACTAACAACATTATTTAAGTTTGTAATTGAATTATAATAATTTATTTTACTTAATATATCTTTTCCAAAAAACTGTACATGTATTGAAAATATTATTGCAATATATTTATTAATATAAAGCATATTATATGTATATATTTGTATACTAAAAATCGTTCAAATATTTGTTAGTGTGAAAAATATATATGTATATATTTTTAAATAGTTATTAAATGTATATTTGTTTATTGCTTATTAAAAATGTGATCAATAATTAATTATATTTCTTATACAAACAAATTAAATTAAAGAAGCAATTAATTTTACTATTTATACGAATATATTCCTAATTTATACGGAATAATTGTACATATAAAATATATTAGCAATGCCGTTCTTTGATATCCTTACATTGAAATTCCTAATCTTAAACATAAATGTCATATTATAAAATATAAGGTAATAGGAAAAATTTCTATAAGTTTTCCAATGTAGAGTACTGTATACTTTAACTCCCATGAGATTAGTCAGGTCATCGATGCTAGGGTGTCGTATTCTATTCCCGATACAGGGATCTTGCAAACCACGCGAATCCTCTTCGTTTAGCCTCCGGTCATCACTCTCTTTCAAGAAACGTGTAACCGCCTCAATGTAGTCCTTGGCAATATAATCAGGTTGGTGACTCATTACCATATTTTCTAAAGCATAAGACGATACCTGCGGCCATCCGCCTCATCATCCAAATCTCGTTTAATTATATAATTCATATTCAATTAAGCAATGGATTATCAAAAAAAAAATTATATGTATTAATCAAATTATCATGAATTTTGAAATTAAGGTGCTAAATAAGCCGCAGCCAGAACGTATATTTTAAAACTATGATATTCATGCGGGTTTTGTCAAAATCTACATCACCTAGTCAATATTGTACAAACTCTACATGCATATCAGAGCAGTGATTTGCCTTTTTTTTATACAATACGTTCTCTTTTTTATAGGAACAAATAAGTAATCTTTTATTACACTTTACGCCCTTCTTCATATACAATTTATAATTACACTACTAAACTACAGTTCTATAAGAAACGTAAACTGTATAATTATGTATTTAAAACAAAAATTTTATTAGCAAATGGCATTTTTAAAAAGACAAATGTCATAATATATATGATAAAATATATAAAAATTAATATAAATTAATTAATCAAAATATATTTTATTAAATATATAATTCATTTTAATATCAAAAAATAAAAATTACTGTTTTTATATTTTTTTTATATTAAATAAGAAAATTTTTACAATTATATTAATCTTTATAATTTTTTTAAATTTTATGATCTAAGAAATTTAAGGAAGTAGCTTCATTTTAATAATATAAAGATACTAAACAAATTATTCCAAAATATTTTAAAGAAATTTTTGAATTAATAAGATATATTCATGACACCAATCGAGTTATGAAAGTAAATAATGTGTATTTCAAGAAGTTTTTGCGAAAAGACAACTTTCAATAAATCTTTATTATGTTCAAAATATTATATTCAAAAATCATTAAAAAAATAAGTTCAAAGATAACTATATTAATATAGCTAACTATGACTATTTTTTGGAAAAGCTCTCTGATTACTTTTAATTGAATTAAAAAAAAATCAAAAGTTTGGAATTAAAATTATTGTTCCGATTTTAGCTTCTTTATTACTAATTAATTTTTTTATTTTTAGATCATTGTTCACTTCATATAATTTCATCTGTCGATTTAAATCTTAATTTAAAATAAAAATGATAGAACTCAAATTTTCAACAAATTCTGTTTACGTTATGATAATTAGAAATAGTTATCAAGTTATCAATAGTTTTCAATAGAAAATTAAATTAAATTAAATTTTTTAAAGCGTTAATTTAAAATGATTTCAAATAATTCAAACTGTACAGTTCAAATTGATAAAGCACGCCAAAATATCGTACGTGTTAGAATAATATAATAATATTAAAATATTATCGATCAATAATGATAGTAGATATAATTTATTTGCAAATAATTTTTTATTTCAATGAAAGATCTAAGCGTTAGATAAGCCTATTGAATGGTCAAAGAATATTTGATGATACTATGTACACAGAAAAGTAGAATATATATATTGTAATAATACAGCCATTAAAGTGCGTAAAGCTTAAAAAATCTTCCTATTTGTTTATGTGGAATTATTATAACCCCCATATTAAATAATTGTAGATTAAGCCTAAATTTTAATAAATTCAAATTTATTCATATAAAGATAAACTTATCTTAAGCTATTCAAATCACTTCAAATATATAAATATATATATATATTTAATAATGATATACTAAAAATAAAATTATAGATCTCATTCGTGTATATTGTATGGAAAAAAAGCAATTTAAATTATTTAAGATATATTAGGAAAGACAAATATTAAATGTAATAATAAAATAACAAATATTTTTTAATAGTATGTTGATTATGTTTGAATGTTTAAAAATTTTTAAATATACAAAAATTCAACATTTTACAAATATACTAAGCCATATAAGATGTTTTGACGCAATATCGGAAGAATATAGTATACATTTTAATCGTAAATTGTAAATAATTGTAAAAAATAATAAAATAATATGTTTAATTTGTAAATAATAATATAATAATACCTATCATTATTAAATATTTCCTTAAAATTATTTTGTTTAAGTTTATTCAATTATGAGGTAATGATTGTATCAAACTCCGACTTATTTATATTACGAATTTCAATGTTATACAAATTGAGTATTATTAGCTTGAGTTTAAAATACTTATTAAAAGTAAGAGTTTATTCTTTTCGAAGAATGGAATAAAACATCGGTACAGGAACATAGAACATGGAAGACAAATAACATTCTAGTATACTCTAAATCACATGAAAAATTTTAGTAATACACTAAATTATTCTGTATGATATAATTTTGATCAGCTGTTTCATTATTTCAAAGCTGCACATGCGCAAAAATTTAGCGACATTGACTTGTTCTCAACAAGTCAGTTGTGTAGAGTTTTTGCCGGTAACAGGGTAGAAATAGTAAATTAAGCGCCTTTACGTAAGTAATCGAAAATTAATTTTTATAAAATTTAAAAATAAATTATTTAATTTCATCATTAATATATCAAAATCTTTTATAATTTATATTAAAAATAATATCTAAGTTACGATTTGCATATAAAATGTTACATAACCTCAAATCACTTTTTGGCGTCCGTTTCTTCAAATCGGACATAATTAAAATCAGTTTTATTAAGAGATTTGTTTTTATTGCGAGTTTTTTCATATTATTAGATTATTTTCATGAAATATGATTCATTTGGGTAATATTTCATTTAATATGTTGGTAAAAATTGATGTCATATTTGACCGCTTTCTTTTCATTATTTTTATAGCCGTTTTATGATTTCTCATCCTACATATTGCGTAATATTTTCTTAAAAATTTATTCACATTTATAAAATTTTTTTAATTAATAGAGTAAACATTATATGCATAGTGGTTTTATAATGCAATTTATACAATACAGCTACGTGTACGTGCTGACATTCATATTTACTATTAAATAAAATTAGATCGAACAGTCTAAATTATCAATTAAAAGTATGCATCATCTAGATAAACTTTTGTCACAGGCAAGTGAAACTATTATCTACGCGCGATTTGTCAGTTGAGTAAAGCATCAATGTCGTTTTTGTTTTTATTGCTATATTCTGACTGTCACTAACGGTAATTAGGATTCAAGTATTTAGTTCTAGGGAAATTCGAAAAATTCAATTGATATGTATGTAATATTTTCAGGATATAATTAGAGCTTATTTCTATCTTATGAAATAAAAAATTGTTTATATCATTGCTATTAAAATTTCTTTAGCAATTGTACAGTTATACATAATTTTGAAATAAAATTGTAACTAATTATATGTTTTAAAAAAAATTTATACTTTAAAATTTTATTTTAATAATGGTCTACATATAATAACGATTATTTGAAATACTATTTATATTATCCATATTATGCATATTCGATAGCACTAACAAATTTATAATACATAACTAAAACAAATTTTTATCTTTGAATTGTAATATATTGTTTATTTGTAATTTTGTCACAATTTTACATTACTGCTTCTATAATGAAGAATTAATTGATTATACAGGCTGTCTAAAATTTAATTTCAAAATAAAGTTTAATTATTTATTAATGTATTAACTAGTTATGGGCATAATTTGAAGTGACAATGGTTCATACAATGGTTCGTTAATAAATTGCAAGAATTATTAATAATTATATATTGAAATACTAGATATGCGCGTATGATTTGGAAGATAATATGCTGAAAAAGATTATGTAAAATTTTAATTTTTTTGCTAATATTCAAAAAATTATATCGTTGATTGTGGTTTTCGGAAAACAAATTTCCTTAACTTGCAGATGCATTTATAGGCTTGAATAATCAAAACTTCTATACACTAGATACGCGTAGAGGCTCACTTGTTACTCACTTGTAATGATTTTGGAAAAGTGAGATAATTAATGTATGAACTAGTATTCTACTTATTTATTGATATTTAATTATGCCATAAATACATATAGATATATATTTAAAAAATAAAAAAGAATTCAATTTCAGTCATTTTTAAATTTTAATGTATTTAGGCATATTATTAGATATATATATATATATATTTCTTTATCAGAAGTACATATGTGTGTATATTTAGAATATAGTTTTAGGTAATCTTATCTTACTATATTGTAATCTATAGAAATGAGTAAAGCTAAATAATTGTTACTTTCGATTGATAAAAACAAAAGTAGTTATTCTATGTATAATTTGTTTTTGAATATTTGATAAATAATGCATGAACAATAATAATTACACAATTATAACAATAAATACATAAATTTTGAGAAGTAGAATGATGTATGTTAAATGACTTTCAACATGTATTAAGAGAACATTAATAGTCTTATTATTTAAAACTTTATTCATTTAATGGTTATACAATGTGTATTTTCCTAGTAATATATGCATATGAACAAAACTGGAATAAGTATCCATATGAACAGAAAACTTTAGCAATTTATCAGTTATTTAGAAATCATCCAATTTCGTATTAATATAAATTTCAAATCCTCTGTTATAAATATACACATATATACACATTTAATAATATTTACTTTTGCAATATCATTATACAAATGTAATAATAACTTTTAACTTGTATCGAAATTGATGTTTAATTTTAATTTAAATATAAATGAATTTATACCAATGTTTATAAAAATGAAAAATTCTTATAGATTTTATTATTTTTATATATAATACAAAATCCTGTAATTTTTTTACGAATGTGATGATAATAAACATAAGTTAAATTCTTCGAAATAAATAAATTTCACACATTAAAATCAACAAAATTATAGTAAATTATCTCACAAATAAATTATTCACAATTCGAAAATTCTTAATTTTGCTGAAATTTTTTATTTAAAGGATTTACTTTAAATAATTAATTAAAGAGACGTTAGGATCTGTGCTATTAGAGAATAATAATGCGTGTGAAACCAACACCGTGGCGTTAAATAATAATTCAAAACAT